TCTTCTAAGTCCATCATCGTTATTCGAGAAGATATTAAAAAAAGAAAAAGGAAAAAAAACTAAACTTCCTTACTCCATAATATTGTGTGCGGGCTTGGCTGATGTTTCCTATTTTTGCCGTGGACCTAGTGTAGAAAGCAAACTTGTTCTTAGTTTTTTTTTTTTTTGCTTTGTAGGCGTGTCCTCGTATCGGTTTGTGTCATTTTCAAATTCTTTTGGAAATTAGTAGGCGGAAAATACATTTTTATGAATGGCAGAATAGTTACCTACGATACTGTACAGACAGACAGACAGACAGACGAACAAACGGACACGCTTACATGCGTTCCGATCCAAGAAAGTATGAGGTTTTTAAAGCTTGCTTTTATACGAAGATTTTTACAAAAAAATTAATTTATGAAGACCGACGGACAGACAGGCCTAGAATGATCCACAATTTTATGCTGGCCTTATAGGATCCCTCAAGTGTTCTTTTAACTTTTGCAAACGTGAGTCCATATTCTCTTTGGTGGGTGTTGGCAACTTGAAGTACTTGACATATACAAAATGCATGACATGTGAGAAAAATGTTAACTTTTACTTGCTACTCGACTTTTTTATTATTATGCTTACTAGGCTTTAGTTATCCTACTTAGCATGGGAGGTGGGAGGATTTTCTCACTTGTTTGTTTATTTGCCAGCCAGCTAAAGTACTTTAAAATTAAAATTGGATCGGTTGAAAATTCGTACTGTCAAGAAGTGTGAGTTCTTAAGTGGAACTACGGCACCGCGGATCGCACGAAACATAAATAGTGTATTTGGTTCTAGTGTAACTACACAGCAGACAGTATCAAATTAGTTTGCCAAATTTGGAATTGGTGACTTCGATCCACGCGGTCGCCCAGAATCAAAGGTTAATAATGAGTCTGAGCCATCTCTAAATGCTTATGAATTATCATTCAAGTTTGGTATTAGCAAAGAAATATTATTAACTCATTTAGCTCAAATCGGCAAAGTGAAAGAGTTAGGTCCATGGGTTCCCCATGAACAGGAAAAGCTTGTTTGATGTTGTTTTCTCGTCACAAATCTGATCTATTTTTGAGTCGTCTGCTTACGTTACGTTACGCAAACGTTCAGTGATTAGTAGTTAGGCAAGGATGACTCACCAACACATATTCCAAAGCGTAGTATTCATCAGAAGAAGCTGATGGTGAATGTTTGTTGGTCTAGTGCAGATGTGGTTCGTTATGATTTTCTTAAACCAGGATCATCGTTCACCGCGGAAATAACCTATAACCAACTAGGCAAAATGATGCTAGAAAATAAGGAAAAATAAGGAAAAATAGACCAGATTGGTTAACAGATCGACTCCCATCTCAATGTAAGATAAAGCCAGGCTACGCACCACACAAAAGACCACAGAAATTGGAGTTGGAACTTCTTCATCAGATCTAGGCCCCACTGACTACCACATCTTGACTAGCACATCTTGGACATCTTCAATTCCGACAACGCATTCCAAGTATTCATAGACTCTCGTCCGCCAAGTTTTTATACCGCTAGCCGCTTAAATGGCAAACGTGTGCACATATTATGGACGCATACGTAGATGAATAAAACAATTTCTTATATTATTTAAGTTATCAGCAAACTTTGCCTTTTGGTTTTTTTTCCAAATTTCGCCCTTGACGGCCTAGTAATAAGAAGTCTTCTAAAGTCTTTCTATATTGTTTTTTCCTATAACTAATCATACGAAGACAGCTATAAAGCTTTAAAATGCATAAATCGCCGATATATCGCATCGTATAATATTTTGACTGTAAATTAATTATGCATAAAATTTGGCAACCCTGCTATGAAGAATCTTCATGAAATTAGCTAATAAAGTGAAAAAGAGAGCGAATAAAAGCAAATGTTGTTTATGCAGCAATTGCAAAGAATGCATTCTTTATTTATTTATTTATTTATTTATTTATTTTTTTTAAATGTCTTCACTGCATATAAAGTTTTTGAAATTTTTCCTAATAGTGGAAAGTGGATGAATTTTAGTTAGTAGTACATAAATGATAAGCTTTTGAATTTTGAGTTTTCTTAGGCGCGAAAGAATGGAAAATATTTAGACGTCCAGTGTATTTGAGCAGCCCACTGTTAAATATTTAATGAAAGCAAAAAAAAAAAAAAAAAAAAAAAAAGAATAAATAAATAAATAAATAAAACCACTATTACATATATGCGTATAAATGCACGCATAAATTCTGTGTTAATTATATACAAGCAACATGTACAACAGATCTGTTCAATCGAATTTGCTGGCGTCAGTAATGGCTGTTCCTTTTTGTTTGTTTCTTTTTTTTTTTTTTTTTTTTAATAAATTCAATTCTGAAGCGAAAGTGAGCGTTCTGTTTATTATCATATATATATATATATATATATATATATATATATATATATATTTATGAACATTCCAACAGAACACACAGAGAGTCCAAAATAATCCTACAAGAACGAGTTAAATGTAGGAAAGAAAAAAAAAAAAAGTGAAGAGAGATCACAACGTTCTCTCTCCCTTTCTCATCCTCTCTCTTTCCTTAGAAAGTATAAGAAGAGCACAACGCGAAAGAGAGAGAGAGAGTAAATGTGGGGCTTCTTACGCTAGATTGGAAGATTGTCGCTACAAAATAAGAAAGTGACGTTTAACAACAACAATTTTGGGCATTACAAACAACAGATGTTCGCAAAGGTAAACAACAAACGCTTGGTCTTACTGTTTATACATATATATATATATATAGTTTTGCGTATACCTACGTTTAACAATTGACACATTTGCATGTACATACATACCTAAGCATATGCTTATGATATAAATAAAAAATATAAAAACTTTTTATGAACGCCATTTACCCACACACACTCGCTAGTGTATACTTATAAGTACGCAGACGTATCTGTGTCTATGCTATGTGTCTCTTTACGTATATGTTGGCATTGAGTGTTAGTTTTTAATAATGAAAAGACACCAAAAAAGCACCCATACACATATTTTCTTAGATATTAAATACTTTTTAAAAATTATCGCTAATTTTGGAAAATAAACTAAATCGATTATAAGACTTGTAATGTTCTATATAAAAATCTTTTCTGCTTCTTCTTATTATTAGTATTATTAGTTTAGCTAGGTAAACAAATTCTAAGATCAGCATCGAAAGCTCTCGCCTTTATTGAGATTTTAACTCACGACCAATGAGTTAAGTTGAGACTCTTTGCTTGGTTGGCCACTCAGATGGATATAAACAAAAAAAAAAAAACAAAAGTTTCTTAATATTTTATTTATTTTATTAATAGAATCTGTAGTAGAAACTTCGATTGGTTAATTTATAGGGACTTCTTTGAGATCACAAGGTAGTCGACAAGTTCGATATGTAAACTGAGCTCTACGGAGTTCTATGTAGGCTCTTGATGTCTTTACTGAGTTGATTCTTTCAAGCAATAATATTCGGCCAAGTCCTCTTCCCTTCTCTAAGATAAAAAAATAAAATTTCACACTACTGAAGCGGACAAAAGCTTGATGATTTAAAGATCAATTTATATATAGGACAGCGATTATGTCGTAATTTTTTTCAGTTCCTTCACTTTTTTGTATCCACATATCTAATAATCATTTTAACTATGAGTTCAGTGCCTTGATAGCATTTTAGAGTCAATCTTTAACTTATGACATTCTTTTCGGTAGCACAGTGTTACAGTATTCATCTCTTTTCAACATTTCAAACCATACCGAAATCTAATGTAAATCCTTCTTTTCAAACCAGAAAGTATAGTGTTTAATTGCTGACTCGATTGCAGTCCATTCCTTTGTGTGCACCGTGTAAAAAAAGATATCATCTAAAAGCCCAATAAAATTCCGTCATCATTGCACTCGTATTACATATTACTTTACAAATAAAGTAAAAAAGTACAGTTGAAGAAATAAGAAGTAAAATTATACTATTGATTTGGAATTAAGTAAAAAGAGCGCTTGAACATCTTGGTAAAGTAAAATGTGTGTTTTATATTCAAAGAAAACAGAAATCGCGATTTAATGGGAAGAGAAATTCAAATAAAATTTCGTTATTGATATAAAGTGAGATCGTGTAAAAAAGGGGATACGATTTATTTTTCTCAAACCTCTCTTTCTCTACTGTAATATAGGTAAACAAATTGAAAAATTCATTCCAACGAAGATAAAATTCAAATAAAATTTTGATGTTTATGGGAAATGAGAAGAAATCGTGTAAAAAAAGAATATATTTTATTTTCGAATAAAAAAATAAATATTAAAATGAAGTTTTTTTATTTATAGGAAATGAAGTGAAATCGTGTAAAGAGGGAATTCAAAGCATCTCTCTGGATCGATCTGAATCGAAATCGCGTAGAAGCCTTGTTGCCATATCGAAAATTATAGCATAAAAACGATATTAATTGCATATGTGTTTAAGCAAAACTTTCACTTTCGCTTACAAATGTTTTGTTAATTTACGTGTTATTCATACGTCCTGTTGCTCCTTCTTTTTTTTTTGCTGAGAAATATAAGCAAATGCTTTCACTTGTTAGGCGTCTAAAGTTCTCCCTAAATTGATTCGAGTTTCTCTCTAACTATTGCCTCTATGTTTGTATGTCCAAGCGGACAAATGTCAAAACCTCCTCTCTATGTGTATATGTGTTGTCAATAAAAGGCAATAAAATTTGTTTTGTTTTTCTTATTTTTTTTCATTCACACTCTTATTCATTCATTCATTCATACGTTCATTTATTTCAACATCGATACGTATCAAATCGTGTTAAAGTCGAGACTTACGGTTTGCAATCAATAGTTACAAGTATTGTATAGAGGCGTAGAATAGTTGAAAGAACAGTTAGTTGTAAAAAAATAGCAGAAAATTGCATATAAAAATTAATCTAAGCAATAACAACAGCGAACGAATGGTTAAGTCATTCAAACGCAATAAGCGATGAGCATAATATCGATTGATTTGCAAAGTGCACATATTGCAACGACAACAACCAAGCAACCAACAACCAAAGACACCGCCGACGCCAAAAGATCATAACCCTGCACGCAACAACAAAAACAAGTAAAAAGAAAAAGCAAAAACTTTAAGCAAACAACAACAAAAGCATGCAGATAATGTTTCTCTCGATCTGCCATAAAAACTAAACAATTATAAAAAAAAAAATAGAAAAAAAAATATCAACTTGTTTACACACTCTCTCTCTCTCTCTCTCTCTCTGTCAAAGAGAAGGTGCTCACTGTTTCATTTCCTCTCCCTCTCTCTCTCTGTTTTGCTCTTTAGCTCGTTCTCTCTCACTCTCTCTCTTCCTCCTACAAATCATTCACGGTGACATGTTTAATATAAAACTTATGTAGTAGTAGTATGAGTGGCACACATCACTTAAACAAGTTTAATAAATATGTGTTTATTTGTATATATAAAACTTGTGCCCGGATGACATCACTCTAGCAGCGCAAAATACGAGTATGAAAAAAAAAAACCAAAAAAAAATCGAATAGTAAGAAAATATAACAAACATACATACATATATAAACGATAAGAAAGACAATCAAGCAAGAAAATGTATAACAAATACATTAATGGTAATAAACAGCAGCCGCACACAATTTGCTTACTTTCCCACATGCACCTTTGCAAACTAATATAAAGTCATTAAAAGAGAACGAGCACGAGAAAGAGAGAGAAAGAGAGAGAGAGAGACAAAGCGAATGAGAATTATTTTATACTTTGAAATTTTTCATATTGTATACAACACATACGGAATATATGGAATTATGGTATGACTGCATCTATTAATTGTAGAGAGTTTTTCAAATTGAACGCATAACCGTAGTATTTTCAATGTAAAGCGGATGGATCTTGAATTTCTCTTTTAAATGTTGAATCTTCATAGAAAAAATTTGCAGTTTATTTATTCAAATATACATTAGGGATTTTGTTACCGGGAAATGCTCCTTTTATGCATAACACACTGACGCTGACTCCGAAGGAGTGGGGAACGAGAAAGTGTTAAGGAGGAAATGAGCGCAGTCTAGGAATGCGCAGCCTTGGTTATGCCCAATCGGTAAGCCTTCACTTACGACCAAAGTACAACGCAAGTCGACCGCATTTGACATTTGAACCCACCGAACAAAGAGTTGGTAGTAGCGATTTTTACGTACTCTCATGGGGATTTATTGAGTTTATTGACTGATTGATTTATTGAGTCTAAGATTTCCAAAAATTATATAAAGTAAAGAAATATTAAATGAATCAAACTATTCCAAGGTTCCTATGACAAATATTGCAACGCATAGACTTGGTAAATATAGATAAATCACTACTTAAGGTGGAAAAAATTTTAAAGACATAGTCACGGAATACCCATACGCGTAAACATATGAAACTACAAACCTATTATCATCAAAATGGCATCTTTATCGAATACCTCGTTTTATCTTAATCGATCTTTTTCAATATCGCATTTCTATTAAAATCGCGTTTTTTACCCGTCTGAGCGGCCGAGTAGGCAAGAGTCTCGACTAGCAATTTAATGGTCGTGGGTTCAAATCTCAAGTGCGGTAGAGTTTTTGATAAAGCCGCAAGTCTTAGATGCTAATGCTTTAAGACTTTAGTCTTAGAATTTATTCTCTGGCTAAATTTATAACAATAATAATAATAATAAAATCGCGTTTTTTTCAAAATCGAATTTATGTTAAAATCGCTTTTGTGAAAACCACATTTGTATTGAAATCGCGTTTTTATCAAAGTCGCGTTTTTTCCAAAATGACGCTTTTATCAAGGTTGCATTTGTATTAAAATCGCGCTTGCATTAAAACTATGTTTTTATAAAATTCGCATTTCTATCAAGATAGTCTTTTTCGCAAAACCATTTTTCTATTAAAATCGCGTTTTTCTTGAAATCGCATTTCTTTCAAAATTGGGTTTTTAAAAAAAATAACATTTCTATCGAATTGCGTCTTATTAGCAAAACCAGTTTTCTATTAAACTTGGGTTTTTATGAATATCGCTTTTCTTTCAAAGTCGCGTTTTTATGAAATCGCCTTTTTATAAAAATCACATTTCTATCAAAAGCGTCCTATTAGCAAAACTACTCTTCTATTAAAATTTTTTTGTTATCAATATATCATTCCTTTCCAAATCGCGTTCTTATGTAGATCGCATTTCTTTTAAAAAGGCGCTTTTTCTTTTCAAAACTATACTTTTCAAGCTTCTTCTTTCAATTTTTATCTCCTCCTGCCTTGAAATCGTACCCGATATCTCGAAATAATAAGCCTTTGCGTTATAATCCGAAAATAACTCCATTTGTTGATCTGCGGCATTGTGGCAAAGGGAAACAAGAAAAAAGAAAGCTTGCTTTCATTTGGAAGCGGTTTTTTCTTTGCTTTTGTATTATAATTTAATAAGTTTTGTACATAAAAAAAACCGCTCATGAATAAATCTTCTTATTTTTCTTTACTAACTATGAAGGGACTACGGATATATTAATTTCTTTAAAATGTTTGCAACAACCAGAAGAAAGTCGAACAAACTCCAGAAAGCATATCTATCCTTGATCAGTGAGAAATTATAAATTTGTGACGAGAGAGTCGAGAGACTCGAGAAAGTCTTAAGGTGACGACTTTTATTCAGATCAGAAAATAAACTGAACTTGCGTTTGTTTATTTTACTCAATCTAAGTTAGAAAGTGGAGAAAAGGTCGAACGACAGCCATAGTCCACAAAGCGAGCGAACAACTTATGTAGTTTTAAAGCTAATGACTAGACCACATGGGAAATCAGTATTTTTGTGACATCGGTCGTCATAAGACATAAAACTTAACTGTTAGTTCCACGACCCTTCTATCATGTTCTCGTTCATCACTTCTTTCTGAAAGTCGCCGTCTTACACGAATGGGGGACATCCTCTAAGTGATAGGTCATATTAAAAAGGCAGACCATTATACATTACCATGGTTGATCCGCATCATTTTCATTTAAGGGCTTTGGTTAGCTATAGGAAAGATTTATGCCAATATATGCTTTATTTGCATCACAGACTTGCAAATTTATTTTTCTATAGTGTGATGTGTTTGCAAGAGGATGCGAACGTATGTCGATTTTTTCGCCAATGCAGTACATTTTAAATTACACTTTTCTAGCCCCTTCGAACATAGAGGTGTTGCCAAAAGAGGTTCTTGGCCAGGCACTAGCAATGAAAGAGTCAATATCCGGGTTCTTAACTCCATCGTAGACATATTAACTGAAGACAACAGACGTATCTAGCGATCCGCAACAATACCGATCAACAATTTTATCTTGATTAGGGTTATGGTCATCTTATACATAGTTTATGAGACGTGTAATGACTTATTCTGGTTCTTAAAAGCAGAAAACATATTCATCGCACGGTCAAGTACCAGTTGTTTAATACCTGTCTGTGATAACGGATCCATTACAAGACAAGTACAGAGTGAGAATTCTCTTTTATTTCTTTTCTTTCGATTTTCTTACCTTAGTAAAACTAATATGATGAAGGAGGAGCTGAGGAAGGCTTTATCTGGCAAGTCGATTCTTTGACAAATTCAAAACATTTTAACGTTTGGCGACATAAAATTTGTTGTGTGTTGTTCCCTTACTCCAACAGGAGGAGATTGTCAAGCAAACTAAAAATGCTAGAAGTGTTACTGGTTTTCCAAATACTCGAGCTGGCCTTTTTGTACGATATGATTATAAAGCAAGTCAATCTCCAGTATTTTTTTAAGCCTTTCCCTTATATGAGAAGTCTTTTATGTATATATATTTACAGGCAGTTTTTCCCTATCTGATCTGAGTTTTTCAAATACTCGAGCTGGCCTCTTTGTACGATATAATTATAAAGCAAGTCAATCTCCAGTATTTTTTTTAGCCTTTCCCTTATATGAGAAGTCTTTTATATAAATATATTTACAGTCAGTCTCTATCTGATCTTAGTTTTCAATGTACCATGGATTAAAATAAGATATAGATGTACACTAAACGATTCTATAGATAAGATATGATAACCGAAGAGACTTACTAGCCATTAAAGATCTCCAATAAAATGAAATCATTTTACAACGAAATACTGTTATAGTGCAGTAGTATTATCTCATATGCAAAAAGTCTTCATATTTAGCAATCTTTACGTTCAAGACAAGCGACTTCATTTACCATAGATTCCTCTTCATAGACATTCATTCACATGATGCATTAATTTCTTAAAAAGCAATGATCCATTTGCTGTAGAAACCTGCACATCAAACACATTCCATCACTTTTTCTTTTGTTATTTTTTTTTTTTAGCAACAGTTCTTAGAAGGCCGTACAATGATAATTAAGTCGAAAATTAAAAAAAAAAAAAAAAGAAAGAAAACAAAAAACTGAAAAAGATAAACAAATCTTAAAATTTCTATATAAACAATAAATAAATACCCACGAAATGTAATTAACACAATTACATGTATATATCGGAACTCCTCTCCATGTTTACCACTCTGTTAATCGATATAATGTGAAGTGAGAGTAATATGAGAGTTAGTGTTAGTTAATGTCTGGTTAGGGGATATAGATGCAAAACGGAGAGGAGATATGCTCATGAGAATGCAGACGAGAGAGACTGAGAGAGAGAGAGAGAGAGAGAGAGAAAGTGTGTGTTCTCATTATCTTAGCTTAGCTTAACATTGAATGAATTGAAGTGAGGTAAAGTGAACGAGACAAACTGAACTGAACTGAACGTTATTGGGAGCGTAATAGAGCATTTATGACAGACAGTCTTGAAAATATTTGCGAACTATGCGGTCGCCATACGATGATTTCGCAGTTGGCGAAACAAAAAGAAATAGCAACAATCATTACAATAATAATAATAATAATAATACTTTTAACAATAATCACAATAGTACGATACCATATCATGCCCGTGAAAATTCGTTGCCATTCAGTTACGGACAAATTAGCAAAACATCAACACCGCTTAGGCCAATTGTGACCGGATCACGTACTAATAATAATAATAATAATACTTATAATAGTCCTGGCTATAAGAACGGTATACAAAGTGATTTTAATTTTGATTTCGATTTCGGTTTAAATACAGAATACACGGGTGGCAGTGCTGGTGATAATAATACCACCGTGCACAGTGTTAATTATAATGTTTTAAATAGAAATGGCAAAGATGTGAATTATAATTACAAGTTAATGGCACATGGTGGCGAGCTGCGTAAAAGTGAGAATCGTTATTTTTGCGGTAGTGACAGTAATTTTAATCATAGTGCCACAGCAGCAATTAAACCGAATATAACAAGAACGACAACAACAACAACAACAACAGCGACGTCATCATCTGATGAAATAGATGCTAGCAGAATGATTAAAACTCAACCACGTCTTACCAGTCCTTTGCTTGTGCGAAAAACTTTAAGCAACAACAGTAGCAGATCACCTACGCGCTCTACAACCAATACAATTGCTAACACATACCATTACAGCTATGGTAATAATAATAATAATAGCATTGGTGGTGGTGGTGGTGGTGGTCGTAGTGGTAGCAGCGTTGGAGACAACTTTGACAAGTTCAACGTAAATGGCAATATCAACCAAAACAGCAATAACAACTATGCTTATAATAATAATAATAATAATAATACCCATGCACATTACAACAACAATAGTGAGATACAACGTAAAACATCGACTCGTTATGATTTTGAGGATTTGTTACGTGAACGACGTGAGAAGGTTTTCACCGAATACCGAGCGACAACACATGATGTGTCATTATCGCCTGTGCCGCCGCCAAGACGTTTTGCCAACGGCTCGATACAATTGCCTTCGACGTTGCCAACATCCACATCACGTCGTCCGCGGTCGCCTCAATTGTCTGCTCGCAGTCAAAGTCAATCTAGAAATTATAATTATGATTTTGAATTTAATTTGAATTTAGACGATGTGGATGGTAAGCTATGGACGCAACGTTCCCGCACACTTGAACGTTCTCCACAACGACCGTTACAAAAATTAAAGCAACAGCAACAACAACAATATCAACAACAACATCAGCAGCTATATGAAACGCGCGACATTCCATTAACGTCAACATATGTGGAACATAATTATCACACAATTAGCTCATCATCGCCAACTAATGCCACTACAATGAAGAGCAACAATAACAATAACAATATTAACCACATTAGCAGAGAAAATGCAATGTTTGACATCTATGCAACGCCTTATGATAAACGTAAACGTGTAATGGAGCCTTTAGAGGCTTTAGCGGCAGCAACAGCAACGGCGGCGGGAACGTCAGCGTCAACGCTGCGCGCTAAACGTTCAGACTATTCAGCCACTTATGGCAATGATCACTTGTATGGTCATGAGCAGCATAGCAATATTGGTCAAATGACGGATAGAGCATCGTCACCTATTTATGCTACAAGCACTAAAAAGGTAAACGCAGCAGCCTTAAGCACATTACCTAGTTCGGTAACATTTGCAAATTCTGTTGGTGGCAATGGCGGTGGCAGCGCTAATAGTAGCACTAGTAGTAATAATGTTGCTTCAGCTTTAACAATTACGGATTATCCAACAACAACAACAACAACAACATCAACAATGATACGTCCAGAAACACCAGCATTTCCTGTTACGCCGCGCACGCCATACGCTCCAAAAGCTAATGGTTATCCGCAACGTACGCAGCAGCATACGCTGACTGAGTTGCACAACTATTCTGCGGAAACTATCTATGGCAACAATTATAGACCGCGTTTAAATTCCACAATATCAATGGCTAATAGTGAACCTCAAGAGGTGGCAGCGCATTTAGTGAAATTTGCCAAAGATTCCTCGAAATTCTGGTACAAACCAAATTTGTCCCGCGAAGAAGCAATTTCTTTACTAGTAAATGCTTCACCCGGCACATTTGTGGTGCGCGATTCAACGACATATAAAAATGCTTATGGTTTAGTGTTACGTGTTGCCCAACCACCGCCCGGCACCACATCAACCGGAAAACCAGATGAATTGGTACGACATTTTCTTATAGAGCCAACCACACGAGGTGTACGTTTAAAAGGTTGCGCCAATGAACCGGTATTTACATCACTCTCAGCCTTAGTCTACGAGCATTCCACTAATCAATTGGCCTTACCCTGCCTATTGAATATACCAGATCGAGATTTAGTACCGCCACTAATAGAACCAACGGCCGCCCAGAAACAATTAATGACGCAAGGAGCCGCTTGCAATGTTCTATGGTTGTTCTCATGCGATACTGAATCGCTTACCGGCGAGGAGGCTATACGAAAAGCTATACGACAAATGTATGCGCAAACGCAATCACCCGCACCCACTGAAGTGCATTTTAAAGTCACTCAGCAAGGTATTACCCTAACGGATAATACGCGTAAGAAATTCTTTCGTAAACATTATACAGCCGAGACTATATCTTATTGTGCCATTGATCCGGATCATCGCTTATGGACCATGCAAGAGCATGGCAACGATAATACAACCGTTTTAGGAGCTTTAAAGAAAACAATATTTGCCTTTGTGGCCAGATGTTCGCCCAGTTCAAAGGATAATCAATGTCATGTATTTTGCGATTTGGCCATAAATCAACCGGCATCAGCTATCGTATCCTTTGTTAATAAAACTTTACCCACGGAGAAACAAAAGAATTATGTTCTCTGAAATAACGAGATTAGTATGAGCGACAACCTAGCGAAATACACGATGGTGAAAACGAAACGCAAACATGTAACATTTAATTTGTAAACAATAACCAGTCACGATATATTATTTCATATATATATGTATATACGTATATGTATACATTCAGATTGTCCTATATATATATATATATATATATATATGCATGCATATATGTATGCTACTATGACCAAAACCAGAGATCAGTCCAATTTTTTTCTTTTTTAAATCTATTTTGTCCCCTTGAGCCTAGTAATTTTCAAACTCAGATAATATTCCTTGGTCCTTGGATGCACCATCCATAGCGCACGAAGAAACCATCGTTAATATCGCCTTGATGTTTTAAGGCCCGGACTTTGGCCCGATTTTTTTAGTCTTGACTCATCTTTTACACGATACACGCTCGCTTTGCCGGCTGTTTCCGGTTCGTGTCGCGTAATTCGCTTTTTCTGACCGATTGATTGCTAGAAATCATCTTCTGACGCCTATTATAATAACTGAAAAAAAAGAATACATTTTCTGGCCGCCGCTGAAACACCAATGACGTTTGTGATGTGCAATTTGACGCTGATGTGGGTCCACAGTGCTATTAATTTAGAAAAGAATATATTTCAAATATACGATATCTCCGCGAGCAATTTAACTTGAATGTAGATCTTACTTTTTATGTGTGTGTGTGAACTTTTCTGAACCCATCGCCCTAATATCAGCGCTGAACATTCACAAGACGGTTCACATATCTAAGAGAGTCACTTTAGTTTTATTTACATACAGTGTGGATGGACATCTCCTCCCTATGCTGGGAATGTTTGTTACCCATTTCGATTGCGATGTTTCATACGTTTCCAAGTAAACTAACCCGCTAAGGTTGACAGTGATGTGACAGTCATAATTTCAATGGGTGTCTTTAGAAATTTAAATTCCTTTACCGTTGGACTCAATAACTACTCGCGCAACTCATATGATGTTTGCATAGGTGTCGATATAATTTTCCATTACTTTGAGGTAAACAATCACTATTCGCAGTATTTGTGATGGCCAAATCTTTAACTCAATGCGCCTAGTCTTGTCCGGACCAAAGTCGATTGCCATTTATGTCAGTTAGAAGCATAACAAAGGATTGGTTCTGTTTTTATCTTCTAAGTCACGAGATCGCCATTCTCTAAATGAAAGCAATGAAATTTCTAACCTTACCTTAGTACACAGTTATCTCTTGAGAAAGTAATTATCTATAGGTTTCTTGGTTAAAAAAAGATCTGGTTTGATAGCAGTTTTCGAGCAGCTAAAGGTGCCATCGTACGGTGAATGCTAGAATTCAGATCAATTGTACAACTTCGTATATGTATGTAGATATATGTATGCATATCTATATATGGATGTATACCTACATTTTTATGTATATATATATGTAGATATATATCAGATCAATTTTGCCACCCCGGTTATATATATGTATACATATATATATATATATATGTGTGTGTGTATGGATGTATATGTATATATATATATATATATATGTTTATGTATAGAATATTAAAATATTAAAAATTATTATACATGTATGTACGTATGTATATGTAATATATTTAAAACACTAACAAAATATCACTAATTTATGACAACTGTTTTAATGATTATTACAATTAAAAATAATAAAAAAAGGAGATTTATTTTTTATTTTTATTGCTAAATATAAACAAAAGTAAAAAAAGAAAAACATGTTTATGAAAATTATTTTAAAAATATTATCAAAACACAATAAATCGTGTAAAGCGTTGATAACGTAAGCATTTCCCCGCCAGCAATGTTTCAGCTTGTATTGATTGTTATTGAAAACCTGGTACGAGAGAATTCGTTTGAAATTTTGATATTTTGTTTTTTTTATTATACTCTACGTCATTTATGGCATAAAGGTTATATTTAAGTGCCGATCTGTCTAAAAGTCAGAAGCTTAGATCGATTCGATTTGGAATCGAATTTCTGAACCGATCTTAAATCTTGCCTGTCTGTCCATCTCCTGTCTTTTCGCAAAATTTAAGATGTTGACGTTACGCTCTTGCCCATGAACGAATCGCAGTGAAAATGGATTGAATCGATTGCTGCCACTCCCTTAGTAGATGTGTGGTCAATCTACCTTTACCTCCTCACTGCATCTACAACCGAAGCAAACGCTATCGCAGTAACGATTAGACTCCGTGAACGTTGATTCGGTTCTCATCTACTCGCCTACTCAAGCGCACAGAAAAATTATTCCTGGAAAATCGCTGAGCAGCGGTATATTGTCCTACTTGGTGTTAAAAATTATGATCATATGGCCCAACTTTTTTAACCTCCTCTTAGTAAGTGTGTGCCCAATCGGTAAGTATACTAGATTTACCTCCTAAATACTCTCCTCAGCTACAAGCGAAGTACACGCTACTGCGGTAATAATTTGAACTAATAGACGCTGGTTCGGTAGTCGCGATTCTTAGCTATTCGGCCACTGTCACTGGGCAATGGCATTTTGTCATAGTTTATATAAAAAATGATGATTACAGGGCCCGACTGTTTAAATTTCCTTCCATATGTAATTGTTCCTACGAAAAGTAAATTCTTAAACGGCAATTTTTGCTATTTTATAATGAAATTTTTCCGTAGGAATTCATAATAGCAAACGTGGTCCACGCAAGTCTATTTTTTTTTTTATTCCAAGTCAAACAAAGGTTCTAATGAAAACTACGCCTCCGCACGACCAAAAGGTCTAATCTTTAATATTTGATAATGAAAAATAGTCCGTATTAGTCATTTGATATAAAAATTAACTATACCACATTTGGACTGGGTAGGTCTAGTTTTTGGACGCCACTCCTTCAAAGAGTTCCTATGAAAAAATCCTGTGTACGACAGAAAAAAGAAATTTTGTTTAAGGATTAATAATAGAAATTGACCCACAACGATCCAAAACTTAACTATATCAAATTTGTTCCCAATATGTCTATCTCCTATAAAGGTTTACGTGGAACATAAACCTATACATCAACAAAATCTAATTTGTAGTTCAAGAATAATAAAATATTTAATAAGGAAACAAAATTTGATAAATTTACATCACCTCAGTTCACCTCCCTCATAATGACCGGACTTCAAAAGTCCACCTTTACATGGAGAAAAGATCATCTATTTTTTGCGTGTATTTTAACGAAAATGAACGAAAAATTAAACTCGAAGAAGTGATGTAGGTTATGTAGGGTGTTTAATAGCCGGCTTTGCTTGGTTTAAATTTTTTTGTAATTTGTTTTTGTAATTAATGTAAAATAATATTTACGTGTTTTTTTTTGTTAACTCATTTTATTTATTTATTTTGTTTGCTATTAAAAAGCTGATGAGTCATTTCTTTTTATAAAGTCTTTGTTTTTGTTTTCATTAGAAAAATTGGTGGATCTTTTGTTTATTAATCATAATGAATTATGTAATTATTTTTATCCTTCTCTCTTCCCCTCTTCATTATTGAGCAAAGTTCAAGGTTAATTTATATGAAAGTTACGCAAAATTTTTTTTTAACGCTTACTTTCATACTAATATTTAGCGGGGATACATAGTTGCCATATAAGAGAAAATTAAAAGACCTGATTATGCGATTTCTTCTATAAACACTGGCTACTTTCGGTTTTTTGCATCCATCATCAAAGGGTGAGGGGTATATTTCAAATACCCCGTATGTATACATATATGTGGTAGCATGTCCGTCCGCTCGTCTGTGTAGCATCTGTTGTAAACATTGTCCGGGCCGCAAAAATTAAGTTATCGACTTGGTATTGCGCAGAAACATTGGAAATTCATGTACTCAGGCTGGTGTTGGCAATGAGCCAAATCGGTCGGAGGATACGCCCACAGTACCACATAAACCGACCATACCTCTGTTTTTCAAAAGGAATGAAAAATTGATTTTTTGTTCATTACTCATAACCTATAGGCGATGCTGTAGAACCTGTACAAAAATGGGAAGAATTGATCACGCCTACCCAGTTTTATAGTGTATTTTAATTTAATTTTTTCTAATACATTTATAAGGCGCAGAAACAAGCTTCAAAAATCCCATAAAATATCGTGGCCCGTTTCAAATTTGGAATACACCTAAACATCTGTCGACCGCGTAACCGCGTAACCGCGCGCCGATCATTTACCTTCAACTAAACTGTAAAGCTTATTAGATATATATTTCCTTTGTCCGAAACTAAAATATACATATAAAATTTAAATTTGCTAACAATTTAATCACTATATTAACATTAAAAGCAGTAATGGATTCCATGGCTGTTCGATATTAATAACCTTCTGTGTCCGGAAAAACAATATACATTTACTATTCAGATTTGCTATTGCACTAATTCAGAGGTGGGCAGCTTTTCCCATCAACGGATCAACGGAACAAGAACGATGCCCACCGTGTGGTCCAATTGCATCCGACTGTGTGGCCTAATGGACAGAAAAACAACACTTAAACATATTTCATAGTGAAGGCATGGATGTGTGCAACCAAATTAAATTAAATGAAATTTTTAATGGGTCGGACATCAGGGGTCGAAGGCCATCGGGGCCGGCGGTTAACCATGCCAGTATTAGTTCTTTATAAATAGAAAAAAAAACAGATATGCTTTTCAACTTGATCAATTTAGAACATCAATTAACAAAAGCCTCTGTCCGAAATTATGATACACATTTAAAATGGAAAATCGTGAACACGCTTTTTAAACAAATTTAATGTTCGCCCATAACAGTGGAGGATAGTCCCCCTACAGCAGACACACCTACTCAAATAACATGCCTTCTTAAGAGTTTGACTTGTGGGAAGGAAGTTATAATGCATCACATCGCGGCAATCGAAGAAAGTCTTTTGTTCATAGAGTACGGAACTGCTATAATCTATAAAGTTAGATGCGCCTATCTTACGATATCGCATTTAGTTGAACTATCGGTCTGAGTAGCCGAGTAGATAAGCGCTGCGACTACTAAGTCAGTGTTCGCAGGTTCAAATTTCAAGTGCGTTAGAGTTTTCTTTGATCGGTAAAGGCTTATCAATTGGGCACACAATCACTAGGTTGCGTCCAACACCTTCCTATCTCTTTCTATTTTCTCTCTTCTTTGTGACAGTCACTGCATTACACAAGTAGGGGGCATCGCCGGAGTGATTGGTCACAGCTTAAAAAAAAAAATAAATAAATAAACAAATAATGGTAAATCGCATTTAGCTGAATAATATTTATATTAAATTGTTTTGTCCGAAAATATGGCATACATATATAACTGATGCGCTGTCATTGCACTATTTGTTTATTAGTTGCTTGTTCAGTCGTTGTTGAAAAATAAAATTAAACAAAAAATTTTAGAAACAAGGTGCTTTGTGAAATGTAAATCATATTTTCGGACGAAAAAATACAAAGTGTATACAAATCTCATGCATACTTTATAGGAGCAAAGAGCATAAAACTCTCCCTTTTTTGTAAGAGTTTGAATTGA